ACTTGCGATTAGAGTTTGCTATGTAAGTATCCTAAAATAGCCAGTCTCGCTCTCTTATACTGACCCAACTTCGAGGCAGCCTTATTCCGCAGACAACAGCGACTATGGCACTTTATAACTGAATGTCCGTCTGCCTTTAATCACGTGGGCTGCTTTGTCTACACAAGTCGTTTTCCAGCTTGACGACAAGACTAGCTAAATTTGCACATGTGTTAACATTAAACTTTTCCTTGTGAGAGTTCAGAGTTGACCTACAGTATACCATTTAGAGGTAATCCAAACTGAAAGGTCAGATATTTTGATTTCTTTTGATGTCTACTTAGCCTTAATATCATTAAGAAAGGTCAGTTGGTGTGAGGGGCCGAAGCCGTGGTTGCATACGAATGACATTAATCACAAAGTATCACGTCCAACATGTGGTGTCTGGAATGAAAGGCACGTAGGTGCCTAGTTAGCAGTAAAACAAAGACAAGGACGCAAAGTGATCGGAGTCCCACCCAATGCAGTACGTTAACTTTATCAAACTTCCCCAACTTAAGACAGTTGCTTTTAGAATTAATCCGTGAGCTTTTCTCCCTCTTTAAACCCAAGAGGATTGAACAGGGAATCCCACTGCATTCAATAGCGAATGCCTTCATCGTGCCCACATGATTAAATGGTTGTTCTGAAATTCTGATTCGTGTGCTCTCAAAGCGCTAAGCACCCCGAAGGCAGAGCATATGAATGCCCAAAGCTAGCACAAAAGGTGGCAATGACACTTCAGCTGTCACACTCTATGCCTCCGCTCTCACTACAGCCTCCCACCTCCTCTGTGTGGAGTGTAGGTCTAATGTGCCAGTTCGGTTCAGTGACGCTTCAAGACGGACTCAAGATGCTCGCCATCATTTGCGCACCTTGCAGCGCGGTGGTATAAATCCTATTCTCTCGCTTTAAAAATAACCCACAAATATTTAGGCTTTACTTCCTAAAAAATTGGATGACGTTTGAAAGTTTTTAAGTTTGGAGTTTGCAAACAAATTATATTTCAACATTCAACTAACAGCTAATTTTGAGCCTAGAATTATATTTTAATCCCTTCATCAGTTTTTCTGTGGCGACCTCTTTGCCGAATTTTTTTTTTTTGCATTCAGGCAGGCATCTTCTCCTCCAAAGTTCTACAAACATAAATCCCTGCGCCTTGAAGATGCGATGCCTTTGGAGCTCGGATGCAAATTGCACTCCTTCGCTATTTACAGCACAGCGTTCAATTAACGTCTATCAGATTGTGGGTTTTACAAATGCCCAACTCTCGCTCTTTTGCTGCTGTTTTCTTCCACAAGAGACGCCGAAATGCCTGTCAACTCTGTAATGCTCAACACGAATTCATTTTGATTCCCTCTTAATGTGATTTACAAATAACTTTGCCTTAAACACAAAGTAGACATTGCTTGTTCACTTTACGACAGTGGCAATATTGAAGCATTCACAATCCCAGAAATTAACCCAAAACCTACATCATCAGGCATCCAGATTTCGCCTAATTTCGTGTGTCTACCCTGACAAAACCCATCAAAAGGTGGCTCTATCACTTGATGCCACTAAAAAGGATGTAGATGTAGCCCCGAATAAACTAAACGTATAATAGTAGCGAGGGTAACTTTGAACATTTTCACGTCCACCAAAAAAGGCCTCTTGGAAATAAAAACGATGGGACCCAGCGCTATTCCTTTGTAATTTGGAGTGCAAAGAAGACGCGATCCTGGATTTTATGCTTTTCTTCCATGGCTAACTTTTCAAAACGAGCGCTTTTAATGCAGAGAAACTAAGAAAAATTTGAGGTTGAAAATATGGCTCCAAAGCCCATTGAAGACGAAAACAAGTTAGCAATCATCAGAAGTATTCCAAAAGTGTAAAATAAACTTCTCCATAAATTTGACTGCAGCATTAGATGCAGACCCACACACATACTTGAGTTCCCCACTTCATTGCTCGGATTCCCTACCCAAAGCACCTTTGTGCTAACACTCTAGCCTGAAGAATGTTTGCGCGGTTCCACGTCAACGCAGAAGTGGGTCAGATAGCTCGTGCTCCAGCTCACCACCGCAGGGCCATAACAACTCCTGCAAGCAGTCTCTCATCTTTTCCACAGGTAAAGCGTAAGCTACCTCTCCCCACAGCTGGGTTCGACTACGTCTGCAAGGACGACATGAATAGATCAGTTCAATCACTGTCTCCTAAATGCGCTCTGGCAAACTCAATTACCTTCATGCATCTTCCTGTTTTAGACACACACTGTAGTTCCTGTACATGAAAGAGCCTAGAAATGTATTTCAGTCTTTCAAATAATCAAATTCTTTCCGCCACCACTATACACAGTCGCTCTCTGACTGCGATAGAACAGATGAGGATGGTGGTGGTGGTATAAGACGGGGGGAAGTGTCTCAAGGTGGGCGTCGCAATGCCACCGTATCTTCGACAGGCATCGCATTTCTGCTCTCAGCCTGAACTGATGTGCACACAAACACATAAGGGAGATTAACGCTTCACCTAGGAAAGCGAATGAAGGAGGTTTTAATGATTTTCCCCTGCCATGTCCTGTCCTGCCCTCCACCTCCTTCGATGTGGATTCACGTATTCGCTCACACTAAGTGCAGTAAGGCGTCTCTCAAGTGACGGGGCGGGGATAGTAACTCCAAACTGCGAGCGCATCCGCTGCTTTGACCCTGACTCAAAAAAAACTGCTTTTTTAAATAAAACAATTCCATGGCTTCCTCATTACAGCGTATGCAAGGTGACATTCCCCATGTTATAATTAAAAGAGGCCTTAAATACGGCATCGGTTGATTCGATTTTAGAAGCGCTAAATCTTTGGTTTACTGTCGCGGTAGTGAGTGCTCAATTTAATACCACAGTTTTACAGCCTTGTGAATTAAATTTCTGGCAGCTTTTCACAAGCACACCTAATGAAACCCCGTTTGAGACTTTGAAATAATTTTCGTACAAGGTAGTACACTTTACTTGAAATAGAAATGAGAGAAATACGCCTTCTTTTAGACTTCAAGTGTTGACAAAGTATCGTTATCTTTCAAGGAAGCCGCAGGTGTACACGATGGCAAGCGGAGCTGTCCCAGGACCGCAAACAGAATTTGAGGGGTTCTTGGACGACGGCGCACGTGCGAAAACGCATACACCTAATAAGGATTCCCTCTGCTTCACCTTTCGTCCACACCTCAACGCTCACAACTTTTTGTGTGATTTTCGAGGTTCTTTCCGCCGTTTAAGCAACTATCACATTTCGAATCGGAAGGCCTATTGTTCGAAAGCCGTCTATAAGACAAACGCCGCTTCACAGTCAAGACTTCCTACCTCTCCGCCACTTATTCTGATGGCTGCGCCATTGAAATAGGGATTTTAGTAAGCATACGGTGTTCCATTCCTTTCTCAAGAAAATGAATCAAATCTCTCCCTGAAATGTGACGGTACCACTAAGAGTTGGGAGCTGCAAAAACTGTTCCAACTCATTTTCTACTTCAATACGTATATCACCACACAATTATTCAGATCGCCTTTAGCAGTTTTTCTCCATTGATATTTGCAACAAATTAAACTTTTGTTCTCAACAAGTTTTTCACCAAGGCTAGAAGAGACTTGACTACCACAGTCCGGATGTAATAGTATTCCATTCGGCCCAGACTATCGCCACTTCCTCGGTTGCTTCAGCTACTGCTCAGACATTGAATTGTTCTACACCAATTTTGTCACATGAATTTACCCAATTTTTTTAGCAACACGATTTAATGAAGACGTGTTGTACACATGCAGTGTTAGTAGTAAGAATGCCAAAATTCGCTTTGTTTCAGACAATTAAAGGGCTTATTCTCGAATCACTCCGGTGACAAATAAAATATTTAGACCGTTCGCTCTACGTCAAGTGCTCCACTCAAGCGGCGCTTCAACCATAGTCGTAAGTAAAGTAGCAAAACCATGCAGGTTACTTGACCCTAGTATGCACATGTTTGGTCTTCCCTTTCGAAAGCAACTTTCGGAACTATAAAGTCATCAAAGCACCCTCTTACAATGTGAATGTGGAAAACAAAGAAATGCTCAGAACGCTAATATAAATGATAGTATTCCACCATGATTTTGTATTTAACTGGTGAAAACAAATCTATATCAGAGCAAAAAATAGTATTTTCCGGTTCCTTTTTAAGTTTGTGAATTCACAATCGTTTGCTTAACATCAAGAAACAAAATGGGAAATTCCTTACCACGTCACTAAAAATGTCCACCTATCAGTCGTCGCACCGTGAGAGAACATCAAGTGCCACTGGGCATGGACAAAGAAAAAGTCGGCGCCAAGCTTGCTCCTCTTTGGGTACTCACTTAGCATCCTTCTGGTCAAAAATTTAGCGAGGCTTGTCACCGTTGCTAGGCGACAGAGGAAAGAATCTTCCATAACTTCACTCCCATTTACTCAAGAATTTTCAATTTTGTAGCCTTCCTCATACAACCTACAGACCTACTAGTATGAAAATTTGATAATTTTAGTCGGTTATCTCAAAGATTCCCTAGTGCAACGCAAACTACACGAAGGCCAGATTTACTTGTGATAATTTTAGTACTCACTGCACACACATTTTGTATAAGTAAAACTCAGCCCCTCCTCGTTTGACAAGTAAGGAAAATTTCAAAATGCAAGCAATAAGTATGGGGTTATCAAACTAGTCTATGCTGCAAACAAGACCAATTTGGTAGCCCAAGAAGGTAATTGTTCAACATCACAATGTTTCCGTAATTTAGACCTTAACCGGAACGAAAAAATTCCCAAACACGAACCAAGACTCTGCGGTTGTGACGGATGGTATCAAAGCTACAAAAACTAGGTTTTAAAGCGAGAAATGAATCGACATCCCGAGATAAAAACAAAGAGCCCTTCTTGCATGAGTTTTAATATTACGACCAGTTTCTTTAGTTGAGAACCACTTACTTTACATAATGGAAAAATCCTCAGCGTATCACTTTCAAATCACTTTGCTAGCTTCTCGAATTCGCTTAGCAGCTTCCATTGGAGTTAAAAGCAGCACCAATTCATGGATAGGCAAACCGTGCTAAAGAATACATAAACGCTACTTAAAATTATTAAGTAGAATAAATTACATCGCTCGAAAAACTTACATTAGAGCCGGTCAGGCAAATTCGCAAACTCGAGAAGAATTTCGCCTTGGGCAGGTTAGTTAACCCATTAACACTTTGGAGTAGGATCTTCAGCTCATCTTCCGAGGACTCTTTAGAGTTCTCTAACATCTCAGCAGTCATTAAAATGGCTTTGTGAGTTTCATCAGATCTAGATAGGGCAGATTTGATAATTTCGAGACTAGGCGACTTCCAAAGAAAGCCGAAGGCAGAAGAAGCCGAAGTTAGGTCGGATAATCTCCCGATTCGACCCTTTAATCGCACCAACATCTGCAGCAGTCGCTCTTCATCGTTGAGTAAGTCTATTCTGAAATGACGAAATAGGTGGTGATAGGATTGCTCATTTTCAATTTCGACAGAGTGGTAAATTTCAAGATCATAAATGCAAGGAAAATGAGTTGCTATAATATCACCACATTCGGGCCTACAAATGAGTGGAGTTGCCATCCAAAGGTGGGTAAGTAGTCATGTAGTTACGAAGGTAGTTTATAATTGTCGGGCATCCCAACGATCGTCTTAAGACGGCTTCATCGACGAGTCGGTCAAAGTGCGCTCGTCCGCAAATTTGGAGCAGTTCAGGATCCACACGCGCGTGATGACGGCTCAGCGAAGAGAGGTCGAACTTGACGCAAAACATCCAAGCGTTGATTTGAGAGGGTTACAGTAAGTCATAAAATACTGAAATTTTACGCCATCTTTGCCTTGTTATTCTACCACTTTAAAAGCATGGTCAATGTGAACAGCAATTGGTGTGAAATAGTGAGTGACTTGGCGTGATCTTAAATAGAAAGTCGCAGAATAAATTTCGTTCATAGGGCGGAGAACAGCATTTAAACAACGGGGAATTAGTCGTTATTTTAGGTTCTAGAGGTTTTGCTTTCGTTAGCCCCAACTCAGATAGCCCTGAAAAGGCTTGATGAAAAGTGCCCCCATTGAGTAAAACACCAAGAACACTCAAGTGAAGGGAGGGTGGCTAATAACATTGGGCACCTTCTAGGGATTTGGCAAATGCGAGTTAATGAGGGGCAGAGGACACCAAGCTATTCTCTGAATGCAAGAGTGGTGGGTACGACTAAAACTAATAATGAAGAAAGGTACTTAAACAATAAATGTACACTAAAAGCAAGTAGACAACTCAAGAATATATTGGATAATGGATATGGTGTGCCAAAGGAACACTTTCGGAGATTGGACCACTTCTCAAAAACTGTTAAAATAGAATCTTTGCTTGGTCACTGCAAACCGGTGCAAATACATCATTGTTAATATCATTTCGGCTTCAAGAGGACTACAGATTATTGCTTAAGATGTTTTCACAACTGTCTCCCAAGTTCGCCAAACTACCCTATCAAGCGGAAAAGGGAAAGGTGTTCAAAAAGCCACGTGGTACTCACCGAGTAGAGCATTTCTTCAACACGTTTGTCAGGTGTCCAGACACCAGAAGACTCACAATTTTCGTTGTTGGATGATGCGAATTCGAAGAGGCCACCAGTTGCCGACAACCAGGTCAGTAGGGCCGAGGGTAGATAACCCTCACGACGCAGGCTCTCCACTAACGCCACCGGCTCCTGCTCCACGTCACGTTTTGAGAACTTTCGGCCTGAACTATAAAGGAGATTGATGATTTCGATTGACGAAGTTTCACAGCAATTAAACACATTTTAGGTAGTTTATTGCCGGTATAAGAAAACAGCGCCTCTACTACCTTTGAACACATTTTCAAGGACACAAGAATAGTGAAATCCTGCCCTTAACGGTTGAAGGTAAGAAACAAATAGTTCCAATCCTGCATTTTAGTGCATAATGTACTATACCTACCGTGCTGAAAATGTGTCCATTATACACAGCCCTGACCACATGATTAAGTGTTCGTTGATTTTGGATATTGGACCTTTGAACGAATTGGAGGACATAGGCGAAAGCTCAACAGGCTATATGCGTGCTAGCTCTCGGGAAAAAATGCCAAATGTCTGGTACCGACAACCTACCGGTGGGTACAAGCAGTGCATCGACAGAAATTGATGGGTTTCCCTTAGAGAAGGGTTTCAAGCTGAGTTGTTCCCGTGATAGAGCAGTGCCTATTTTCTTGATCGACATTTTTAAGATATAAATGACCCCAGTGTTCCACAGCTTTTGATCTATAGCATACGGGTACCTCGAACGAGAAGGATTTCTGAGAGTTGGAATGGGCGAAGGCATAAACGATAGGACCTTAGTGGAGCGCAAATAAACCTGTCAAACTTAGTTTCTCTCTACGTGGAAAAAGGCGTTGCCTCACAATAAGTAAACTAAATCAGTCGTAACAGAATAAGCTCCGGATATTAGTAAGAGAAACTAGAAACCAGATGCTAAGCATACAAACAAAATACAATATACAAATACAAACAAACACTAAGCCCTAATGTTCCATAGTTATCCATAAAATTAAAAATAAATCCGAAGGTGATCACCTGGAGAGCATTAGTGGTAGGTGGGCAAAAGCTGGAGGTTCCCAATCGAAGGCTGCGTAGAGTCGTAAATGCTTAGGAACTGCAGTTAGCCATTCCTGCAGAAGAAAACAATGAAATAGCTGACCACGAAAGCCATGTGTGACCTACCGAACCACGTACAACGTGACTGATCTCCATCAAATGGTCATCGACGACGTTTGCCAAATGATAGACTGGCAGTCCATCTGATTTCATTATTACCTTAAAAATACCGTTGAAGAATTTAACGCATCTGAGCAATTTGCATCAAAAGTCAGTTTAAGTATTTTTGTGCAAATCCCCAAACAGTAGGGATCGATTTTGCTTGGATTCGTTACATTTGAACTTTGCGCTACAACGGGCTATGTGTGACCGCTGTTAAACTTAGCCTATACAATATCACTGTCAATTCAAATGTCACTGAGTTCCAGAGGAGAGACCTCCATACCACAAAAAAAGAGTGAAGCCGATTTATAGCTAAAGCGGAATTTCATGCTTGGAGCACTTTACTTCGAATATTGTATGACATCCAATATGGACAAATTTTGCAATATTTTGTAGTAGTATAGTAAATTTTACGTTATTCATATTTGAGGAGTTCAATCAAATGAGCCATTGCCTTTAGTTTAACCAATAAATAACAATGCTGACACTTATAGATCACAAAGATACTATGTACGTATATAAAGCAAAAATACATACAGGATCACCTTCGCATTCCACATTCGGAAAATGTATCTCCCCAAAAACCAAGTCTTTAAAAGTCACATCAGTAGGCGGCATCTGAAAGTAAGCAACTGGTACGTCGAATACATTCCTGCTAAAAATTTGGACTGGAGGAAAAGTACCTTAAACCGAAGAACATGGGACAGATTTTGGGAAAGGTTTGACTCAATCTGCCTGCGTGATAGATGGCGACATCGATTGTCGTATCGAACCTTTTCTCCATTTCTTCGTTGCTCAATTTTAAGAATTTCAAGACGCTCATGTGAACAGAAACAGCGGTAAGCTCGACCAGTTTGCAGCAGGTGATTAGCAAATTTTCGATAAATTTCAAGACGTTCCGACTAAAAGGCGAGCGGTAGTGGTAGTAGTTACCACTTGCAACAGATTTCGACGCTTTAGACGACTGTTATACCTGAACATAGGGGCCGTAAAGGCCACCGGCAACAGGACCCTCATCTGGTGACATTCCTGCCCATTCAAGTCCATTAGTAATTCCCTTCAACGCGTCTACAGAGCATCGAGACTGGAGTAAACCCGCTGAGGTCTTCAGCATACCTGATCAGTATCCTCGATTCGGAGTATGAAATCTCCCCCATCTCTTCGAGCCAATAGGAAGTTTATGAGGGCCGTCCGTAATCCACCTATATGAAGAGGTCCTGTTGGACTTGGTGCGAACCGCGTCCGGGTACGACTTCGCATGCTACAATACAGTCTGACTAGTTTGTGAAAGAAGGAACACGCCCCCATTTCACATGGGCGCGCATCCAAAATAACGTGCAAACAAAATTTTAAGGTCGCATAGTTATAATAATGAAATGTAAACATCATATTGGATGTCTACAAATATTGCGTGATTGTTCTTAATAACAAGTCAGTTAGTACCATAAACTAAAGGAAAACTAAGTAAAAATAGAGTGCACCAAAGAAAGCATGGGCGTTTCTTCTGGCAGTATCATATAAGTTCGGCATTGTTAGAAAATCGCTTATTTGGACCTTGTAATTTTCTTACATCTTTTAACCGCGTACAAACACAAAAAAGTATTTTGAGATCAATGGAACTTCTGTAGCACTTTTGTGCACACAACTCCTGCCTTAATATATAGGTCAGCCTAGTCATGATTACCGCTGTAGCGTCCCGATACTTCACATAGGGTGGAAGAAGGCAGAACAGAGCAATGGTTCGAAGGCCAGCTCACGAGTACAACAGCCAGGCAAATCTTAAAGTGGCCACCAAACGTCAGACATTCACATGACCATAGCATTACAACTGCAACCCTCCGAGACTTCTTACTAATTAGAAGAGGACATTAAGTTAGGCCGGAACATCTTTTATGGAAGAAAGGCAGAGATTGGACTTTGGCTTGGTCCGAAGGCCAACCAAAGGATTAATACTAAGGTGGCTGTCAGACACACATGTAATCAGAAAAACAAAGAATTGCAACTATGGCTGTAATTCCCTGAGGCTTCTCGCTAGGCAGTTGAAGGCATTATATGTGCCTCTGTGCTTGTATTCAAGGGGAAGTTGAAGGCTTAAAGCTTGGGCCAGACCTTGAGTCCAGCCCACGCATCTATGAACAAGATGAATGCTAAAAAGTGGCCATCAAACATACAGTTAGTTGCACAAGCAATGTATTGCAATGGCATTCAGAAGTGAACTCGGTGTCTAACATGCGTTCTGCTTATAACATGTTCAGGACCTAGATTTTGTGCCCGATAGCGCTTGAAAGCATAATAACTACCTTTAAAAGGCACTTGTGGGGTGGGGGAAACCTAATACACTTAAATTTTGTGCGTTAAGATTACAGCTTAAACATGCCCAACTGTTTTATACTGATATTGCTAAGCTTTAAAACTCAAAACTGATCCCTAAAGCTAAAGTATCATATGTATTTCCATTACGGTTGCTTGACTAAGAAATATGGATCGCCACATCTTAAAGTCCTTGTATTTTTAATAGGACACCAAAGCCTGTTAAGGTTCATGTACTTCTTGTCATTCGCATAAAACTTAATATTTCGCATTTCAAGCTTTGTTTACCGGCACAGACATGGCTTTTTATCATTGATGGTTGATGCCTCAATTTTATAAGGCTTCCTATAGCGCTGAACTTTCGAGAATGAAAGATTTTTATGCCAATTTTTCGTGAGAGAGGAATTTAAGTTGTAGCGTTCTACGACTTCCTATTAGGTATCAGAAGGCAATATGTAAAGCCGAATACTGGATTCGGAGAGGAGGTGGAGAGGCTAAGATTTGGCTTCGCCCGCGCCCCAGCCCACGCATCCAAAAGAAAGATGAACGCCAAAGTAACCACCAGTCGAATAAACAAGGTGTTACAAGAATTTTTATAATCACGATCAATGAAGGAATTTCCTTTAGGCCCTGTATTTGCATGAGAACATGACCAGAGAGGCCTCCGTTCGCATGGTGCTTCTTACTGCGAGAACATGTATTAAAATTCGGAGTGTCAGGTTGGAACTTGTCACCTCCCATGCAATTAATTGTTGCAAATGTTTCTCAAAAATGGGAGTTTGAGATTCTCCAGGAGTTTTGATCTCCAGTGTTTCCATTTCCTACCACACAAGGGCATTACGCGAAAACGTTAGGTGCTTCGGAGTGGGCAGGTCGGTGTCCCCTCTCCGCCCTCTCTCTGTGCTTTGCCGGAATTTTGGGTGAGTCGTAGTTTGCATAAAACATGAAGCCGTTTTGTGTGGTTGTGACAGCTCACTCTTAATCTACTTGCTTTTTCCCCCCTATCACCCACCTTCGTCCTAACACCTGCTACCAAGGTGTGCACTAAATAATGCAAACTATTCTCATTTCTTAGTCGGTGGAATTTCGATGAGGAAAATTCCCAATTTCTTTACCACATCGTTGCAAAGTATCAGATGCTAGAATTCTGGATTAAAACTGGTTGACGCATTACTAACGCCGGACAGGATTACATTGCCAAACTCAGTTGAAAAATGGATTCACGGTTTGGAGGAGGTAACACACGCCACTTCTTTATGGTAAACGAATGAGCATAGAGTAGAAAATATCAAGTCGTCTAATCACAATGTAGTTTGCTGTAATCATGGCTGCACCACAAATGTTTCCTTATGCGTTGTTACCAATTTGTTAAGATCTGCTGATGCTTCTAGATGTTATTACCAACCTCGAAAGCAAAGTCAGTGGCAAAATCGTCGCAGGTGCCTTTGTGAGAAGTAGGTAAAGAATATGCCATTCAAGACCAATCGGTAGCATTGCCTTCTGCTATTAGTTTGGTGCTCCACCTCCTATCATGGACGCTATGATGAGCAGGCAAGAAATTGTAGTTCATTTGGAGATATCGGATGGACGATAATTTATAGGTCTGTCGTGCTGATCAAACCGTAAGAGAATGCGGAGGTCGCGTACTTAAATTTCTAGTCGAGTTGTGGTAAGGCTTACACATAGTCTACTATGTGATCCTATTTAAGCCCGTACCAGTAATTAAATAAGCTGTTCAAATGTATAGTTGATAAGTTTACTAAGCTGACCTAAAAATATTCTTTAAGAAATTATTTCCACTACCAATTAAGCGACCTGGCAGTTCCCAAACTAATCCCCATCAAGTTAAATTTAAGTTGAGAAGATGTTAGCAGAGCTCCATCATATGAATTTCCCTGTATCGTTCTCTCTTAGTGCGAAGATGATGAATGTCTTGATTAATAAAGCGTTACACTTAATTGACGTGGTCCACCTAATGCCCTTTGACATGCATGTTCGTATCTCATTAGTAACTGTATATAAAAAAGAAAATTCCAACGAAATTCTTTTCGAATTTTCTTTTCTTGTAATATAATGCACTGTGGTGCATCAGTGACTCTTCACATCGTTGCGTACCCTGCCACTGCCCTTTCTTTGATTTGGCACCAACAGTTCCTTTCCTATACAGAAAGTAAAGCCATAAGCAGAATAGATTATCGCATCTACCCCTATTTTTTTAATAGGAAGCCATCACTAGGCTCATTTGGGCACCAAGCGGCACTGCATTACGGACCTGCAGCATTCGGCGACATTGTTTACTACTTTTACTGGGAAGTATGAGCACGGTAAGATAAACACTGCCGTCGAATGCAAGGAGGCAAGGGGTGTACCACGGGCAGCACTGCGCTAGAAGAGCCTTCAACTTGACTAATCACCTCTTAGTCATCATCAAGCCTCTGCCTTCTTGTAGGAAATAACTTATTTAAATAGAAATTCTCTCCCTCACTGCTTTCAGTGAACTGATAATTTGTTTTATGAACCGCTGATTTCTTGTTCCCCTCAGTCCACCAAGTGGACGCCTCCTCCGCTTCTCACTTGCATATACGTACTAGTAATTATTCCTCGTGTGTTCATGCGGCTTTGAGAGGAAGAAGCAACGTTTTGAAGAGCGGCTTGCTAACCCCAAAAGCATCGACTTCCTTCCAAGAGCGACACAGTTAAGCTACGCTTTAAAATTTTCGATACAACATTATTTTCCCCTTCACCTCTCTTCTCTTGCCTCCTTTGTTGCCGTCACTTTTACCCAAAAATTAGTTTTGTTGTGAATTCTCGGAAGTGCCCAAATATTGAGTTTGTTTGCTTGTTAAAGTCGTCGCTTTGGTTTTACGAATGCTTGAGGTCCACAAGGGATCTCACTTCTAGGCTACAAACCACTTCTACCTGTTGGTGACACACATGTTTGAGGTAAATGTTGCGTCCTTAATGTTTGCTACGATGGCAACTTAAATCGTCGGTACTTATCCCGACCTCGTATTCCGTGAGAATGGCGTCCACCTCGCAAGTGACACTAGTCCTGAACGTTGATTACTCGTATGGATTAATTACGAAGCTGTTCGCGTCAATTTCATTAGCGACATCTGAGTGAACAAGAGATACCGCCTCTACCATTTGGATGGAACTTAGACCAGCATGACTACACGGAAGTTAAGTGAAAGTAAATTGCCAAAAAGCTTTTATTCTTTCGGTTATTAGCTGTGCCCTTAAGCGGATGTGCACACGACTGGTGTTGGCTAGCACGGCCCTCCATCCCTAAGCCCAACTCCAACAGAGGACAAAACTCCAAATTCGGTGAAGGTGCGTTAAAGGCGCCTTGCCTGTTGCATAGGATGCCTGTGCTTCTTTCGGTTGGTGTTTAAAAATTCGCCACACTGCTTTAGTGTCGCATTTTGAGTTTGTAATGGGCATCAAGGCTCCCGTCTTGATCTTTCTCTTCTTTTACATTGCTCTGCCCAGATTTTACTTTAATTATACATTTAATGGGCAAGATACAATGTTTCTAAAACCCCTCTCTTATTAGCTGATCCTTCGATTAGTTTGATAGTGTTTGTCCTCTTCACAATTCGCGAGTTTACTTTTAATTAAAACTTGTTTGACAAAGTGTTTCGAAGATGAATAAATGTACGTACAAACACTCTGGTGACTTGAGAATTTTAAACAACTAAAACTTCAAAAGTTTCAAACGTGCTTCAACAGTGTCGGCTCTGAAACGGTGAGCAACCGCATTGAGACTGTATTAGCAGAAAAAACAGTGTCGCACGATTCAAGTGAAAAGAACAAAACCCCGTATAACTTGGCAAAGATAGGCTTTCATCCTGTCACCCAGCAAGATAGTCGCCTAGTCGTTGAATTCGCTCGTAGATTTGCCCCATATGCATGTAGAGGCGGACCGAGCGTGCCTCACGCCTTTCCCC